ATACCAGCATTTTCTCAGGGTCTGTTGTCTGGAAAAACAGCCTCAATTCCCCCTCCCTCCGCGTCCAGATGGCTGACCTTGGGGGCGGAGACCTTGGGACAGTGTTTCGCTGTGGGCGGGGGCTCAGGGGCAGGGCTCCAGGCCGGGCTCACTTGGTGTTTGTTCTCCTGCCGGCCCACCTGGTGCTCGTTCTCGGGCCGGGCGTGCAGCGGGTGGCGGGGAAGGCCGCCGGGGGTGGGGATCGGGGACAGGAGGAAGAGGAGACAAACTTGAGAAAGAAAGGGCTAAGGGGCAGGGGTCTTTCAGAACTATTAGATAACCTGATCCCCTCATCAAGGTGAATGACACCATTCAGATTGATTTGGAGACAGGCAATATAACTTACTTTATCAAGTTTGACACTGGTAACGTGTGTATGGTGACTGGAGGTGCTAACTTGGGAAGAACTGGTGTGATCACCAACAGAGAGAGACATCCTGGCTCTTTTGATGGGGTTCATGTGAAAGATGCCAATTGCAACAGCTTTGCCACCCAGCCTTCCAATATTTTTGTTATTGGCAAGGGCAACAAACCACAGATTTCTCTTCTCCGAGGAAGAGGAACCTGCCTCACCATTGCTGAAGAGAGACAAGAGGCTAGCCAAACAGAGTAGTGGGTGAAATCGTCTCTAGGAGACATGCTGGAGAAATATCTGTACACTTGCCTTTCTAGGCAACTGTGTTCAAACAGCATGATAAAATTAAAAAAAAAAAAAAAATGGCACTTCCATCTCCTTCCTGAAATGGAGATATTTCAGATAAAGTCACTGTGCACTCCAGAACCCACACCTAACTGAAGATCTGAAATGACCTCAGTGTTTCCTCTATTGGTGCAATGTAATGTTTATTACTGGCCTTTAGGTGGATTAAGGAGACTTTCAGGTTAGAATCACCTTCAGGATTTTACAATCTGAAGACAGAAATAGGAATTTTCAAGAGTCTGAGACTAAAATATTTTAAGAAAATAAGTACAAAACAAAAGTAAGAAGATAGTGGTTATCAATCTTAGTATTTATTGAAAGGTGGAAGACAAGGAAAACAGTCTTTCAAATGCCAAAACAAATTTGTACCTTGGCTAAGTGTAAATAATTGCTTTACATATCAATAAACTGTCCCTCTCTACCCCCAAAAAACTGAAAGTTTACCAACAATGCTAATTTATTATTTACAAAAAAAAAAAAAAAAACCCTTACCTGCCATAAAACTGAATTTCGGAAAAAAAATCTTATTTTGAGTACATTAATAAATTTATTAAACATTTAACCTAAGAAAATCTTTCCTCAATTTCCTGCCCCTCCCACTTTGGAAACAACATATTTCAAACAAGCTTACACAGAAATGTACACATACATACAATACACAGTGTTGTGCTAAACCAACCTGATCATTAAGGTCAATAGTCTTGTCATAAGGAAGATAGATAATCAATATATGGCTTTATGTAAATTTGCAACTAAATATCAAAAATGTTTAATTCTTTTGATAACTAACCTGAGTATGGAATATATAATACTTAGCTAAGAAGATATAAATAAAATGAGAAAAAAGGGAGGAAGTCTGTGTGTGTGTGTGTGTATAACTGAGGTACCTACATTTTTATGTGAAGGTCTTTATATCACTTAACATATAACAATCACTCTGTATAATATATGACCTTATTAAAACTTTATCTTAAGTGCTTTATTGTTCTGGTCCAAGATATTGGAAATAAAAAAATCTTTATTCACATGGAGAATGGGAGCGTACTAACTGAAAAAAAAAAAAAAAACATTAACATGCAGTATTAAAATAGGTATTTGTGTGTAACAAAGGTAGTCAACAAGTTCTCAGATGGCATCTGAGGAGGATTTTTAAAAATAACCCGTAAGACCAGGGCCATAAATGTAATTCAAGTCTGTAAGGCTTTATCTTGAGATCTTGAGCCTGTTGGTTACTCACACCTCACCTTCACAGAGAGGTATGCATTTGTCAGATCAATTACATCTTTGAATTAGGGATGACTGACTGTGGGTTACATAAGAAACTACACCTAAAAGCAACCATTATACTGTTTCAGACATGCCTTCTTTTAAGCTAAGACTGTAAGGAACAGCGTTTTCTTACAGTTATGACCTCAGTGTGTCTACATATGTGTGACTGGAAATAAAACATACTGTGTAAAATATATCACACTCAATTTAAAAACTAAATTTAACCATATGCCTTCCTATTTCTTAATACTCATTAAGAACTTTTGTTCCCAGAAAGATGGTGAAGAACCCTAAATTTAGCTTAAAGTGGCTTAAATAAGTTCAGTGAAAGACAGCTAGTAACATATAAAACAAAACCTCTATTTACACTGTCGTGATTTTTAACTTCTCTATTCCATGAAACATCCCCCACTAAAAACATGCTGAGTTCCTACAAGCCACCAAGATTTCCTATTTTATTTGCCTATCTTCTTATGAAGTCAGGAGACTTCTCACTGTTGCTAATTGATTTTCATCAGGTCTGGTGAAAACCACTTTTCTAAGTGAATTCTCACCACTTAGAAGCATGAGGGCTTAACAAAAATGAGGTGAAAATGGAACCCACTGAATGGAAATAACTGTCTACCAAAAGACAGCACAGGGAAAGCAAACTGAGAGTCACCAATCAAGATAGGGGACCAGAATAACACAGTGAACAAAATGTGTGCCATGATTAGAGCTCCTCCATCCACACACACATCGAATACTTAACTTTTAATTCCAGAAGTGGACGCAGACCCAAACTGTGCTAAACCCATGGGTGCAGATTTCTTTCACCTGTAGGCCCTGGCCACCCTGTTTCCTACACAGTGAACTTGCTAGAGCATCTTTAGGAACACTACACCTGACATTTATTTGCCTTGCAGGCTGGGGAAGGGCCCTGAGAAAGATGAGCTGACAGTGTTTTGTTAGCTGTATATGGCAGCTGGATTTCTGTCATTGCCCCTATTTTAAAATTCTGTTTTTGTAATATGGAAAAATGTAAAACAAGGTTTTTGATTGCTCATAATTTAACTTTCTGCATGTCAATTTTTTACTCAGCTATTATTAAACATACAGGTGCTTATTAGTAAGAAAATTTTCTAAACTTATTACTTACACAACAAAGAAAACTACACTAGGGCTAAAGAATCTGGCCACATAAAAACTTCATTAATTAGAAGGATAAAAATCACCAACATATTTAGTTTCTTCCAAACTTCTAAAACTATTATTTTCTTAATGTTGAACATAAATATTTTAGGATGTATTAAGGAAGTAGCATATATATATATATATATATATATATATATACACACACACACACACACATTCCCAAACACACACAAAATCTATATGCATATGCTTTTGTAACTGAATCCTGGTTTTTTGAAGGCTTGTACAGTATGGAAAATTTAAATATTTACTAGATTTGAACACACACATTTTCCCTCCATTACCTCCCAACATGTATATATTAACAGAAACACAATATATCAAACAATTAAACTGAATTGTCAGTTTGTTTTTGCAAACTCAACAGAAAGCATTTAGTATTACGAACCTTTATTAAATGGCTCACATTTCAATAGAAATCACACTAAAAAGATTCTTAAAAGCTATTTACACTACAGTGCTGACATTTAAAATGAAAAAAAAAAGTCGGTATAAATAAGCTCTATGTAAAAACAAATCATCAAAAGAGAATTCTGGCTCATATTACAAAAAATATATTTATATGATTTTGTCAGCTCCATTCTAAAGCCTACAATTCCAACTCAAACGGCTTTTCTAAAAGACTCCTTTTGTGTTTACCTGCAGTGTTTACAGTGCATCTGGACCTAAGTGCTCCAACTTCCCAGTTCCAGACAGGCACAGAGGAATGTTACAAAGCTACATCAACTATATTTTGTAACAGACTTGAGAGCAATTCCTAGGCTTGCTTTCAGATCTCATGAATCATTATTACAAATTATTTTTCAAAAGGAATTTTAAATGCAATGTACAAATTCAGCACAAATTGTCATCATCATTTTTATCTTGATTTGAATGTATGGAACTATGCTGCCTTGTATCAACTATATTAGTGAGACTTCCAGGACATAATTCTTCCTTTAAGTCTTTGTTACTGTTTTCAAATTTAGAATCCATATTAATCTGAAAATCTGAAAACTGAACATGATCCAACTTTGCCTTAACATTCTTGCCTTCTGTATTATTCAGTGTTCTAGTCTTTTCAGGTATATTAACTTTCACAGGTTCTTCCTTGATTCGTATAGATGCAGGATGTTCATGTTTAACCTGTTGTAACTCATATTTAGAATGAAGCCTGTCTGAAAACACAGAGTCTGATGAGGTTTGAAGGTTCACAGCACAAACTCTGTTGTCAGTGTGAGGCCCGAGAACTGATGATGTGGGACCTGATGAGATGCATGCTTCATGAGAAACTGTACTGTGACAAGTGTCCTCCTCTGCGTGGTATAATTTAAGTCGAACATGCCATGCCAAACTGCATACAGCAGAAACTGTCTTGAACTGATGAACAACATTCCTCGGAATAAAATAAATGTCATTATCATACAGCTGAATCCTGGCATAACGAATGCCTTCTCTCCTCAGCTGATTAAGTTTTGCATCATCAACCCACTGGACACACTAAAAAAAGAAACAGGAACACAGGTAAGTCTTTTGAACAACAAAATCTAAATGAAAACTGATAATTACTAACTTTTACCTGCGACAGTGGAGGTTCATGTAAATCTAATTGCATTCGTTGAACTACTTCTAAGAAATCTTCTGCATGAAAACAAATTACATCTTTGGTTATTCGAGGTTGATCAGGCCTACAAAAAAGGAGGGTGATAATAAAGGAATCTTCCATTAATGTTTCATTCTGTTAAGTCCTTAATAAATTCAAACAAAACTAGTTTATAAACAAAACCAAAATCTCCTTACACATAAAGAAAACCACTTCATATATTTAAATCAAGAATTTACACTATGGGGCTAGCGAGATGGCTCAGAGGTTAAAAGCACTGGCTGCTCTTCCAGAGGTCCTGAGTTCAAGTCCCAGCAACCACATCGTGGCTCACAACCATTTGTAATGAGATCTAGCGCCCTCTTCCTCTTCTAATGTGCAGGCATTAGAGTTTAAACTATGAGTTTCAATCTAAACAGACTAACAACTTTATTTACTTTAGTATCACTGTAATAATTATCAGTAAATTATATAAACTATAAAAACCAAATATCTTTAAGTGTTAAAATAGCAAATGCTGCATAAAAAGGTTGAAGCAAGCATAGAAAGACATACACCACATGCTCTCATTTCTATGTGTAAGCTGAAAACATCTTGGCAAAGCACAGAACGCGGGCTGTCAGAGCCGGGGACGTGGAAGACTGGGAATGGAGAGGGTGAATCATGGAAGAATAACTGGAAATGTTCTGTAGTACAGGAGGGTGATGATGGTTCACATTTAATGTATATTGCAAAACAAGTTCATGTGAGAACTTCATTCCCACCACACAAAAATGGTGCATGTTGTGGTGGATGTTTTACATGATATATAAAACAACTGCCCTGCTCTGCTACATAGTGTATACCTGTGTGGAAATATCACATTGTATCTCATAAAAAAGAACATTTAATAACTCATTCATTTTTATTATTAAAAGTATGGGCAGAGGTGGCTCATGCCTGTAACCTGGGCTACAGAGTGATAGTCTCAAAAAAAAGCAGAGAGAGAGAGAGAGAGAGAGAGAGAGAGAGAGAGAGAGAGAATATATACTTTCTCATTCCACAGAAGAGATAACTGTCTACCTGAACACATCCAATCTCAAAGGACCCCACACGCTAAGCAGAGAGCAGAATTAGGCCCAGTAAGTGTTAGATGGGAAAAATTCTATAACAGTGCTGATGCAATCAACTCCTACATGACTCTTGCTGTATTTTAATTCAGTGCTGCAGTTACTAGTGCATATTTATTTAATTACTGTCTTACAATAAATTAAGGAATGTCCATTACAATACTCATATTCTTCACTGGAGACATTACATTTCTTACATAAATTGTGAAAATTTTCCAAATTCTTCGATTAGAAATATATAAATACATCTTTACAAAAGATGCTCAAAATACATTTTTGAAGTGTAAGGAAAGTCTAAGAGGGTCTGGCCTAACAGAGACAACTAAAGGAAACCACAACCAGGCAATATGCAGTTGTGGAGCCCTGTTGTCTCAATTAATACATCAACAAAAGAGGATCAAGGGCTGTGCTATGAGATTGTCTCCCAATAATGTCAAAAGCTACACCCATAAGTCTCACCAACATGACTGCCGAAAGAAGACATCAACACACATGCAAAAGTACATGGGGAAAAGCCCATGAGGCCTCAAACCTACACAGAATTACAGGCAACTGAGTAAAACAGGGATGGAAGAGGTGGCCCTCCCCTGGGAAAAGCACACAAACTGATTATCTAGTGACAGTCAGGCAGCCCTGGAAACATACATACAAGAAATATTATATGGATGCAATAGGTTATACTTGGGAATATGTGTGTATTTACAAATACACATATGCACACAATAACAACTGATGAAAAAGGCCATGAATTTGAAGGAGAGCAGATAGGGATGCATGGGAGGGCCTGGAAAGAGGAAAAGGAAGGGGAAATGCTGTAATTGAAGTACAATCTCAAAAACAATTTTGTCATAACAGCCAAATTCTTAAGGTTCAGTGAAAGAGGATAATGGACAATACTACATACAGAAAACGAGGGTAAACAGTCACTGGGGTGCAGACTTTGCAAAGACATTTTTATCACAACAAAACAACCTGACATATTAACCTATAGAGACAGAAAGTAGCAGATTAATGGATAATTGAGGTGAAGAAATGACTGAAGTAGTTAGCTGCCAAAAACACGGAAAGTCAAATGTTCCACATCTTCACTGTTGTTGTAGTACAGCTAAATAAGTCAAAACAAGCAACAGACTTAAAACTGGTATATATTTTATTGAATGTAAATTATACCCTAACTTCATGGGGTATAACTATGGGCTAGGGAAATGGCTCAATAGGCAAAGTACTAAACAAGAGTGAGGAACCGAGTCCCCAAACCCATGGAAAGCTGAGCACTACAATCCCAGAGTTCTTCCAGCAAGGTGTGAGCTGGAAACGAGAGATTCCCAGAAAGCTTGCAGGCAGTCATCCTGGCACACCCAGCAGCTCAACAGCAAGAGATCCCATGTCAAAGAAGGTAGGAGACGAGGACCAACACTGAAGGCTGCCCTCTGACCTCCACATGGATGTGTCCACACTTGCACACATCAACAAACATACAAATACTTAAATCTGTGTAGTCTTGTCTTAATAATGCTTAGAGTTATATAACCTGATTAATAATCCACACTGTCCTATCGACAGAAGAGTTATTTGTAGTCGAAATCAATGCAAAACTAGGCACAGCAGAGTACTGCCATCTCAGCAGTCAAAGCTGAGAAAAGAGGTCTGTGAGTATGAGGTTAGCCTAGGCAATGTGGTGAGACAATACCTCAAAAAAGTGTTGGGTCAGGCATGAGGTAAGCAGATCTCTGTGAGTTCAGGGCTAGCCTGGTCTACACAGTGAATTTGGGGCCAGAAAGACAGCTCAGCAGTTATTAGTACCTGCAGCTCTTCCAAGGGTCTGGATTTGTTTCCCAGCACCAAACACACGATTGCCTGTAATGCTAGTTCCTGGGAATCTAATACCCTACTATGGCCTCATGAGTCAATCTCCAAATTTTTTAGATCAAACTGGTATTAAGCATAGCTAAATAACAAAATTGCTTTTTCCCATCTTTAATATTAATAGCTTATAAAGCAGCAGTGAGGCTCCGAGCACTCAGGCTAACTAACCTGTGCATGGCAGTGCCCATGGCAGCATGACAGAGATGGCGGCAAACAGTACCTACTTAGTATTAACTTATAAAGCAGTACTATCATTCTGCATGATATGACTCTTAAAGAGTCATTTCCTTATATGGAAATTTCACATTATACCTTTCACAAAACTTTGAAAGCTACCAAGTTTTAAAACTATTTCCAGAATTAAAAATGGTTTGTGGACATCAGGGAGACGGTGCAACAGGTAAGAGTGCTTGCTGTGGAGGACCTGAGTTGAGACCCCTTTAAGACCTAAGTAAAAAGCCAAGCAAAACCCTGCAGCTGTAACCCCATACTGTGGCAGGCAAAGGCAGGAAGGAAGCAGAGATCGGAGGAATGAGTCTCAGACTTCGCACACACTAAATGCCATTTAAAAGCTACCGTTTTTCACACTCTGACATGGTAGACATATAGTACAAGCAAAAAAAGCAAAGTAAACTTAGACATTTGGAAATGGGCTTGTAGTAAAAACCAACTAAATCTATTTTCCCTTTAACCATGGATTTCTCCCCCATTAATAATTCTGAAAAGGAAATTATTTTACTCAACTCAGAGTCTAGCAATTTAAATATTCACTTTGATTATGCTATCCAAATATAGGAGCCAAATGAAATGGTTTTCCCTAGCAAAGAGAAATTATTTATGAACATTTGCAATAAAGGATTTTGTTTTGTTTTCAAGACAAGTTTTCTCTGTGTAGTCCTAACTTCCTGGAACTCAACTCTGTAGACCAGGCTGGCCTTGAACTGACAGAGATCCACCTGCCTCTGCCTCCCCAGTCCTGGGATTAAAGGTGTGAGCCACCACTACTGCCTGGCCCAATAAAAGTTTTAAATGGCATACACCTCTAATTCCAGCACTTGGGAGTCAGGGGCAAGTGAATCTCTGTGAGTTTGAAGCCAGCGTGATCTACCATAGTGAATTCCAGGATAGTCATAAGAAGGCTCGATAGTAATATCCTGTCGAGAGAGAGAGAGAGAGAGAGAGAGAGAGAGAGAGAGAGAGAGAGATAACAGTAGTTAGTATGTTCAAGATGCTGAGTTCAAGTCTTAGCATAACCACCACTAACAAAGCAACAGTGGGAGCAGGAACAATAGTTCATAGTTAAGAGCACTAGCTGTTCTTCCAGAGGATTTAGGTCCACCCCCAGCACCCATGTGGCAGCTCATAACTGTCACCCTAGTCCCAGGGCATCAGACACCCTCTTCTGGCCTCAGCAGACACTGCACATGTGCTATTCAGGCACATAAAATAAGAATAAAAAAATATTTAAACAATAAAACACCTGTAGTTCTATGTACCTGTGTCCACAGTGCACGGCCTTCAGCACTCCAACGGCAGCTGTAGTTTGTCGCTCAAAGCCTTGTCCTATGTGATCTGCATGAGCTCTCGTCCTGTCTTCAAACAGCATCTCCCGAGGCTCACTGGTTCGAGGTAGATACTGAAGGTTTTTTATTTCATTGGTAGTTCTGTTTTTTAAAAGACATTTGCATTTTAGCACTGAGGCTTGTTTCCTTACCAGACATTTCATAACCACATAATTTCAGACAAAAGGAGAGGTTTCATTCTTAAAATGAATAAAGGCAAATAAAAAAATGTACATGTCAAGTCCCTTTCACACAAGTGGGAAGTCCCTTTCACACAAGTGGCAACCCTGAAGTTTGGGGCTACTTTGTATGAGACTGTGCAGTTACTTAACACAACACATACTTCTAGAATTAACAGTTTTTCTGTTTCTTTTTGGTTTTCCAAGACAGGGTTTCTCTGGGTAACAGCTCTGGCTGTCCTGTAATTCACTCTGTAGAACAGGCTGTCCTTAAATTCACAGACATTCACCTGCCTCTGCCTCCTGAGTGCAGGGATTAAGTGTGCCACCACCACCCCGCTAATAGATATATTTTTAAATACATTAATTCAATATTCATATGGCACAAGCTTTAGGGCAGGTACTATCTAGGTATTGAGACTAGTAAAAGAGACTACATGAGATGAGGCTACTACTCTTAGGAGAATTGCAAAGAAAGATAAAAAAATAAATTAGCAGAAAAGACCCCACACACACACACACACACACACACACACACACACACACACAAAGTTAACAACGAACACCTAGGCAGTGGCTCCACAAAACAGTTTACCGGAGGCAGAAAGAAAGCCTTTATGTCTGTTTTTGCAAGATAGCTATCTTCCACGGGCTCTCTTGTCCACTCATCATCTAGAATTCATAAGCACACAGAACCTGCTACCCACTTATCTTCACACATGGCAGAAGCATCTCCAGTTAGTCCACAGAATGGGGAAAAGGGTGAAACCAACACTAGCCAAAAGCTATCATTTTCCTACTCTGCAATGTGTTTTTTCTAGTCTAGATCCCCCATAATTTGTCCCACTCTCCTCATACATCCTCCTGTGAGTCTCCACTCACTGCTGGCTGCTCTTTGTGAATCCTTGCATCCATCTGTCTTACCAGACTACAATAACAGACATTTTGCTCTTTGTGATTAACATCCTATCTGTGTCAGAAAGTTAGACCATGCTGTTGCTTGTGTCAAGGCTCTAAACCTTGAGTACACAGAAATTCCTTGAGGGATTGGTGAACCCTTTTAAATTACATCTAAAAGTTCGTGCCTATATTATTCTGGCCACAGAATTTCTGATTAAAGTTGTTTAAGATCCTGAAATAAGTTGGGTGTTGGTGACACACACCTTTAATCCCAGCACTTGGGAGGCAGAGGCAGGCAGATCTCTGTGAGTTCGAGGCCAGCCTGGTCTCCAGAGTGACTGCCAGGAGAGGCCAAAGCTACACAGAGAAACCCTGTCTCGAAAAACCAAAAAAGATCCTGAAATTAGCCAGATGTAATGAATGAGGCACACCTTTAGTCCCAGCACTCAGAAAGCTGAGGCAGGCAAATCTCTGAGATCAAGGGCACTCTGGTGTACATATAGAAAGATCCTGTCTCAAAATAACAACAACCCTGAAGCAAACATTGAGAGAGGGCTAGAGAGATGTTTTAACAGTTAAAAGCCAGGACTGATCTTGCTGAGGACCAGATTCAGTTTCCAGAGTCCATTTGGGTGGCTCAGGACCACCTGTAACTCCAGCTCAAGGCGGTATGTAACACCTCTGTCCTCCACAGGCACTTGTACATACAAAGAACATACCCACACACAGATGAAAACCCAAACAAAAACACATAATTAGAAAATTTTTAAAGTGATCTTTGAAAAAAGAGAAAAGAATAAGTTGCAAGAAACACAATTTTACAATTGTTATCAACTTAGAAATGAACTCATTGATTCCATTATTTCTTAAGCAGTTGATACCATGTAACAAGCCCAACAGTCCCTACAGTCCCTGCCAGTTACTCAATGACTCCTTGTACTCTTGTTGTGGTTTTGTTTTAGATTCATTCATTTCATACACGTGAATGTTTTGCCTGCATATATGCAGTACATCACGAGTGTGCCTTCGTGTCTTCAGAGGTCAGAAGAAGGCGTTGGATCTCTGGCCTTAGATAGTTGTGAGCCACTATGTGGATGCTAGGAATAGAACCTGGGTCTTTAAAAGAGTAATAATTGCTCTTAACTCCTGAACTATCTCTCCAGACCCTGTTTGGTTGTTTATAATAATCAATTTATTTATAATAAATAAATTTATAATAATCCATGTACCATTAAAATCATTTTAGGTATCGACAGAAAAAAAGCCACTCTCACCCATAGCACCTCCAATTCTATGATCACAGAGTTAATTTAGTGTACATTTTTCCATAGTTTTTAAAATATATTTTTAATAATTCTTCCAGATCACAATGAATAAAATGTATTTTGATCATATTCATCTCCTACTCTTCCCTGTAACTCCTTCCAGATCTACCCCACCCCTCCACCTCCTCACAACTTAATGTCTTTATTTTTAATAACTCAACAAGTCCATTTTGTACTACCCATATACTCGTGGGTTAGAAAACATCCACCGGGACAGAGCTGACCTTACCTACGAGGGACCACAATCTCTAAAGAAACCCCTGTCCTTCCCTCAGAAGCCATCACCTGTCACCAGTTAGGAGTCAGAGCTCATGATTTTCTGCCCATTACATGCTAGAATGTTAACTGGCTGGATCTTCTGCAAGCAACCATAGCTGTTGTGAGTTCGCAAATGCAGCAATCCTGTATCTCCAGAAGACACTCCTTCATCAGGGTCCTCTGACCTCCCCCTCTTGTATCATCAGCCTTCTGGGCAATGGGGTGTTATTAATGACCCATTTAGGGAGAAGCACTACAATGACACTTATTCAGTACACTCTGACCAGTTGTGAGTTTCTGTGTTAACCACTGTCTACCAAAGATCACAGTGCTTTTTGAGCCAGAGTTCCTTTTGTAATTTTGAACTTACTATACAGCCCACAGTGAGCCCTTTGTACAGTAGTCTACCTGCCTCAATTCCTGAATACTAGGGTCACATGCATGAGTGACCATACTATCAACACAAATACATATTCACAGCAGGTAGTTTTGTTTTTTTTTTTATAAAAACAAAATTAAAAAAACAGGCAATAGTAATGCATACCTGTAATCCCAGCACTTAGGAGATTGAGACAGGATAATCTCAAATTCAAGGCCAGTTCGGGAAGTGTGTGTGTGTGTGTGTGTGTGTGTGTGTGTGTGTGTGTGTGTGTGTGTGTGTGTGTGTATGTATGTATGTATGTATGTATGTATGTATGTATATGCGACCCTGTCTCAAATAATCCTATTAGACTCATCCCTGGTTACAGTGTGGAATGAGTCCTCTGGAAACCCAGAGATACAAACAATAAGAGCATTCAGAAGGACACGAAACCAGAAGGAGAGCTGACTGAAATGCACTGCAGCATGCCTAGCAAAGGGACTACAGAGCTGCAACCCAGTGGACCTTCTTTTATAGCAGAGAGAGGGGAGTCTTATCTTGTGGGCCCTTTGTTCCTTGTTTGGATAGGTAAGTGAGCAACTTTATTACTTTGTTTCGTAAGTGTAGCGGCATTATTCCTCATGACATTAGCTATCTGTGCAGGCCCCACTGGCCATAAAGAGTTGGGCTTCAGGCGGTGGGCGCCCAAGCCTCAGAGCCCTCATCTAGTAGCTGATGGAAGCAGAGGCAGACACCCACAGATATACACTGAGCTGAACTCTGGAAAGAGAGGGAGGAATGAAGATCAAAGGGGTCGGTACCAGGCTGGAGAAACCCACAGAATCAGCTGGCCTGAACAAGGGGGAGCAAATGGACCCCAGACTGCTGTCTGGGAGGCCAGTACAGGACCCTGGTGTAAGAAGAGACTTTTGAGAGCCCATCCCACGTGAAGGGATGCACTCTCGGCCTGGACACATGGGGGAGGGCCTAGGCCTGGCCCAGGGTGATGTGGTGGACTTTGGGGAGCCCCCATCGAGGGCCTTACCCTACCTGAGAGAGAGAGAGAGAGAGAGAGAGAGAGAGAGAGAGAGAGAGAGTGAGTTGGGCTCCAGATGACTGTAGAAGAAACCATGGATTACTGGGGTCAATCTCCAAGTAGCACCTAGCTGATAAAGTATGGGAATTTTGCTCTCATTTTTTACTTTTTTCATCTACACTGATTTCCTATATTTTGTTCTTTTCAAGTGTCATGGATATTGTAATGTTTAATCTTGTCAGACTGGCTGGACAAGTAATCACCTAGAATATACCCCTCCAGGTCTGTCCTTGAGGGAACTTCCAGAGGGACTTAACTGAGGAAGGACAACTTTCCAGGAATGCAAGCAGTGCCACTCCACCAGCCAGAGTTCCAAACTAAACAAAGGAGCTCCCAAAGGGAATGCCCAAAGAACACCAGTATTCCTATGTCCTTGACATGGCTGGAACACGAGCAAATGCCTCATGCTCTGTTGCCATCGTGGGTACTCCTCTTAAAACATGTAGTTCACTACACATAACACACACAGCCTCTTCCTTAAAACAGTTAGTTGTCAAGACATTGTTATAGCAACCTAAAAAGTAACCAATACAAATACCTGTAAGGATAACTCTTTCCGCCAGCCGCCCGAGTTCCTACTGCTGCCACATTAGGGCCCCAAGTAACACATAAAGACATATTAATTACAATACTGCTGGCCAAAGACTAGGATTTCTTATCTGCTAGCTTGGTCTTAATTATCAACCATAATCATTCATCTATATATTTTATAAAGACTTATCTTATCGGACGCCAGCGGCAGGTGTCTTCTCTTGCAGGGATCACATGGCAGCTCCAGAGAAGAGAGGAAGAGGAGGGAGAGAGCAATTTCCTGCTTGTCCCTGCCTAAATTCTGAATCTGCCTGCTGTATCACTTCCTGCCTTACCTGATTTGTTGGCATCAGTGTAGAAGGTAATGACTCCAGAAATAGGAGTTTGTCTTACAATACGTGGAAGGATCCAGATTGTCTTTTTTATGAATTTAATTCTGTCAGTTTCGGGATAATTGTTGCTAATTGTTCCCAAAAAGTCAGTAAGAGCTATCTGCCAGTAGTCATTGTCCATCCGTAAGTAGGAAATTTCCTCATTAGTTAAAGGTACTATAATTTCTGCTGGATCTTTTCCAGTCAGATGACAAAGTCTTAATTTGCCCTTTAGAATCAAATCAGAAATCTTTTCTATGTACGTCTTTAGCTTTTTATTCTGTTTATGTGGCAGAAATATCCATTCTAATATACCTTCCCTCTGCATCAGAATCCCTGAAGGGTATTCTCTGGATGGTAAGGTAACCAGAATACAGTCTAAATTAGGGTCCACACGGTCTACATGTGCATCCAGTATTCTGCTTTCCACCCATTGTAATTCTTTTTCCGCTTCAGCAGATAATATTCGTGAACTGTTTAAGTCCTTGCCCGCTTTAAGGGCCATTTTTAAATGCTTTAAGTCATGTCCTGCCACTCCAATTATTGTCTGTAGTTGAGAAATTTCTCCTAGCAGTTTCTGAGGACTATTAAGAGTTTGATAACGATCTCTTCTAATTTGTACTTTTTGAGAACTGTTTTTTTGTAACTCTGTCTTGTAACCTAAATAATTAATAGAATCTCCTCTCTGTACCTTTTCTGGAGCAATCTGTAATCCCCAACGAGGTAGAACTTTCTTCACTGTTTCTAACATTCGTTCTAATGTTTCTTTATTAGAATCTGATAATAAAATACCATCCATATAATGATAAAGAATGGATTGTGGAAATTTCTTATGAATTATCTTTAGAGGTTTTTACACAAAATGCTGGCACAAGGTAGGACTATTTAACATTCCTTGTAGCAAAACCTTCAACTGAAATCTCTTAACCGGCTGTTAAAAGAGTTAGTACAGTAAATGCAAATTTTTCTCTATCATTTTCTTGTAACAGTATTGTGAAAAAAAAATCTTTCAGATCAATTATTATGATCGGCCATCCCTTAGGAATCAAGGAAGGCAATGGCATTCCAGGCTGCAGAGAGCCCATTGGCTGAATTACTTTATTGATGGTTCTTAGGTCTGTCAACATTCTCCACTTACCTGACTTCTTTTAGATAACAAATACAGAGAATTCCAAGGGCCCCAAGTAACACAGAGAGAGTTGTATTAGTTACAATGCTGCTGGCCAAAGATTAGGATTTCTTATATGCTTGCCTTGTCTTAAGTATCAACCATAGCCATTAATCCATATATTTATAAAGACTTATCTTATGGAGGACACCAGTGGCAGGTGTCTTCTCTTGCCAAGATCACATGGCGGCTCCACAGAGAGAAGGAAGAGGAAGAGGGGCAGGGAAGAGGAAGGAGAAGAGAGGAGGAAGAGGAAGAGGAGGAGGAGGAAGAGGAAGAAGAAGAAGAGAGCGATTTCCTGTTTGTCCCTGCTTATATTCTGAGTCTGCCTGCTATGTCACTTCCTGCCTGTATCACAAGACTTCTCTTTATTACATTTCCCAGAATCCTCGACTCCTAGTCCTGCCTGACTTGCTTCCCTATTGGCCAACAGTACTTTATCAACCAATAAGACAAACATATACATAGAAGGACCTCCCCCATCAAATACCCTTCCAGATCTAGAGTATTTTACCATTATTTTTTGCAAAATAAAAAAATATGAAACATACTCAATCATTCCCTAATGGTGGACATTCAAACACAATTACATTTCTTTCTTACTGCAAACAATGCCACAATTAACATCCCTACATACTTTCAGGGTTCTTAAGAATAGATCTTCCAAAGGGTAAGAAATCACAGTTAGATGTTACTTTCACAAAACTGTAACTGCTTACTCTTCTATAAACAATATATAAAAGACTTACTTCATAGGCCTGTGAGTCTGAAATCTTTTTTTTTATTGTTGACAAAATAATGAACAGAAACCAACCCCAGCTATTAAATAAAACTTACCTGCTGGCCAGGCTTTGGTGGCACACACCTTTAATCACAGCACTGGGGAGGCAAAGGATCTTTTGGAAACATAGTTTCTCTATGTAGCCCTGGCTGTCCTGGAACTCAACAAGAGATCTTCCTGCCTCTGCCTCTGCCTCCTGAGTACTAGCATTAAAGGCATGCACCAGACCCAGCTCTATTTGAGTCTCGTGGTAATTTTCAGTAACTCTCAGTGCCCTTTTCCAGTTTCTTCTTTTTGAAATATAAATTCTCTCCAGTGTTAGGAGTAAAAGTCCAAGTGAAATAAAAAACCAGCTGAAGTGTCTATCATTCTTCTCCAATCCAAAAGACAGTGGACTTTCCGTTTCTCTTTGTGTTACTTTATGTCCACCCATAAGGTGGGTTAGTTCTTAATACAAGAGTATTTGTTAAATTATTCGAAACAATTTATTTCTCTGTATGAGTGACATCTCCACTCCTAGTTGTAATTTACTCTTGTTTGCTCATTTCTCATGTCTCATTTATTGTGGATGTTTTATAACCAAGTATATTAATGTATGGCCTATTGGGGAAATTTTCTTCCACTTATGCTGTAAATGTCTCCTCCTTCTGCAATAGACATACACACACCCCAAGTCATCCCCACTAATAAAGATGTGATGTGCACAACAAACCTTTTCCTTTTGAAGGGTGACTTTGGCATGTCAGCCACCGGGATCATCTGCTCCCCTGGACGCACCCACATGATGGGGCCATCATCACTGTCTTTCCGACTCTCTAATTTTAGACTAGATAGTGTTCCCCAAGGCAATGTGCACTAGAAACAAATTAATTACACAAATTAATTATTTTCAAAATGTATCTTCAAATACGTACTGAAAATATTATAAGGAGGGATATGTAGGTGGGGTGGGAAAGAAAAGGGGAAAATGATGTAATTACATTATAATCTCATAAGAAGAAATAAGAAGTTAACCTGAAAGTCAACAAATGGAACAGACTGATAATTAAAAAAAAAAAAAACCTCCCTAACTCTCCTTATAAGAATCTGTACAATGTATTGATAAAGCCTAAAATTTGAGGGAGAAAAAAAAAAAAAAACTGTTCCCCTCTTAGACACAAATTCATATACAACTTAAGCATTTGAAATACATCCTATATTCATGTATCTCTATTTATTCATATATTTAGCTTCAAAACGTTCTTCTCCAAACATACTAGAAGAACAATTACACTCAGATGGTTTACTAATCCACCTTGCTAGAGGTCAATGCATTCATCATTTGTCATTTTTCTTTCTACCAAACACAAGGTTATATAAATCTAATAAGTTGTCAAAACTAGCAAGTGGTCTCACACACAGCAACCTTGAAGACAAACTTAAGTTAAAAAAATCAAATGCTTCCTTAATTGGTGATAATCAAATACTAATGACATAAAAAAAAATACCAAATATTTGTTTAGTAGTTTCTTGAAAAGGCTGCTGGTCTAAAAGCAGAAACTGGATTTTTTAAAAAGTGAGGGACAATGGAAGAAAAATGACAAGATTAGAATGATGGGTTGTTTTTTTTTTTTTTTAAATCACCTTACAGTCCCATTTGAAAAAAAACACATTTTTCTAGGAACTATGCTTAAAATAAAATTTGAAGCAACTATTTATTTCAGTAATATTCTATGAAGTATCAGTTAATGATTATAATCAAAGTACATGATATGACTAGCTAGGAAAGAGAAACAAAAAGCTTAGAAACTATATAGGAGGAAAAGAATAAAATAAAATGAAAGTAAAACACAAGATACATGAACACACAAGGCAGGAAACCAGTCATGCCGAGTAACACAGAGGAAGCCACAGCTTAGGTGGGGAGGTGTAGACCAGTTTCAGCCACAGCTTAGGTGGGGAGGTGTAGAGCAGTCTCATATTGTGCTGTGTACCGAGGTCCTACATTTCAAGAGAGGCTCACACTCATCTGTGAATTATTCACTATTAAATAATTTCTCTCTCAATGGAATGCCCCAGGAAACCCATAGTAAGAATTCAGCAGCTGTTTCAAAACTAAAAGGGAGAGCCTGCAAGACAGCTCAGCACACAAAACAAGTTCAATCCCCACAACTCATGCAAATGTGAAAAAAAGAAATAAAACGTAAAAAGTTGGCGGGGGTGGGGGGTGGTAAAGCTGACATGCACCTCATGGTACATATGTGCCCCAACCCAATCCCACATGTACTCATAATAATGAATAAATTTTAAAAATAGATATAAAATGGAATTGATTAGAAAAGTCTTATAGACTGTAATGGAACAGAAGCAGAATATCTGATACAACTGTACAACTGTATCCCCAGGTCAGTTTCCCACAATGTCAAGCCACCTTCATAAAACATTTCACAGGCGTCCTTTCTACACATCTTAAATCCTCTTGTACTTAATCTACAAAACACAACCAGGTGGCAGAAACAGGCAATCTTATTTGCTGATTCACCCTTTAACTCTATCATTACAATTATGAGAAATTGCATTCATACATAGCACAAGATTACTGTTTCCTTCCTTTTCCTTCTTTAATAAGAACGGATTGTAAACAGCTATTCATCTGCATCAACTCCAGCAGCAAAATTAGAATGCTAAGACCCCCTCTTACTTTTAAGAATGGTGACTCCTCCAACATGTCCAGGAACTCCGGGAAGAAATCTCCCACTTCTTCATCAACGGCTCCCACCAAGCTTACCTGTCGCATGGGGCCAGCTCTGTAAGTACCATGAGAATATGTTCTTTTTACCTGAGGGACATGAATTTAATTAAAAGTTAGACATGTAGACACAAAGTGTTTGCTATCATCGCATAACATTGATTACATCATTTCAGACTACTAGAACATAGCAAGAAACAAACAAAATACAAGGCAAGAAAAAACAAAGCAATCCTATAACAATGAGATATTTTATTAAAAAATATTAATTAAATCAACTAATTTCCATTTCTTTCTCTGCAAACTACTCATTAGAAGAGTTCAAATAAACAACACTGAATAGATAACTGACTGCACCATGTCCTAACAGCATAAGAGTTCATTGTGTGATACATAATGCTATTAAAAATATTCAAAATGACACACCTTCATTTTTCTAAATCAATACCTCCTATTTATTTTTTTACAACTGTCAAATTACCCCCATTACAAGTGGTTTAAATGTAAAAGCCACTAAAAATTATCTTTCATTCTGGATCAAGATTTTAGCTAGCAGCCAGTTCAGGTTCCTAACATAAACAATGATGAAAATGGCTGAAATTCAGAGTTGGAAATCCTAAGCCACAAATTCACCTCTACTATCAACCAGCTAACTTCAGATATCACATAAATTCCTTCTGCTTTCATGGTGACCCCAGACTATAGAAGAAAATGCAATGCTCATTATATAAAGCACCTGTTAAAATACTAGTAACTTCATGACATCCAAATGTTCAAAACAAAGCAACCTACACCTTCAGGTTTACTGACACTTGGATTTTCACAGGCATACTTACTCCCCGAAGAACTATAGTTTGTTAATACAGAGAGAATAGAAAAGGGTAGGTATTCTTTTACACTTCTTTTCCTAAACTAACTTTAATCAAAATCCCAATGATCTTTTTTTAAAAATCAGAATTTGTGGTCACTTTATGATCAGTTTGTCCAGGACTAATGTAGTTTAAAACGAAGTCCAGAAACCCATTCTCAAACAACAAACAAAACAAAACTCTGAAGTCCTAAATTACAGGCAAGTCTCAAAGACCAAGCTTCTGTCACATTATAAAGTCTATACAACTGCAGTGACATCGTACCAGTATATGCAAAGTACCTTCCTTGCAAACCAAGTATTTTAGGAAACACAACAGTAAATATTCTATTATACTAGAATAACTCTAAGACATCAGGATTTCATTTTTATCATAATCAACAAGCATTGGTTCTTTGAATTTTTATTATAATGGCATTAAGTTTATTTACAAGAATTCCAAGTTTGACTTTTCAATTATCCAATAAAAATTCATGGCTCAGATTCATAAACCAAGTCTTAAGTCAAAAAATGTACAGATTATACCCTGTCTCATAGTAAAGGTCTTACCCTTTCTGTCTCCTAAAAGGTGCTATCACCCCCCAAATCAGAGATTCTCAACCTTTGGGTTGTGCCAGGTATTTACATTTTGATTTTTTTTTCCCCAAGACAGAGTTTCTCTGTGGCTTTGAAGGCTATCCTGGAACTCGATCTTGTAGACCAGGCTGGTCTGGAACTCAGAGATCCGCCTGCCTCTGCCTCCTGAGTGCTGGCATTAAGGGGGTGCTCCACCACTACCCAGCTACATTATGATTCTTAACAGTAGCAGAATCACAATTATGAAGTAGCAACAAAATAGTTCTATGCTTGGGTGTCACCACAACATGAGGAACTGTGCCAAAGGATTGCAGCATTAGGAAGGTTGAGGCCCACTGCCCTAGAAAAACAAAACTACAAGTCTAAACTTGACTCTCCACCACTCTCCGGCTCTAGCAGCTTCAATGCATTAACAGCATCACAGTAGGAAACTTGGTCATGAGTGTGGTTCAGTAAGGTAATCTTTAACAAAGCTAAGATTACCAGTCTGAACTGTAGTGAATATACCATAATACCACACGAAACTCTGTTAAATTATTCTGTATTCATATCCTTGGTTTGAGTTCTGCATGTGACCTTATGAGTTATGACAGACCATAAGACTATTAAATAGAGAAATTAGGGATGAGGGTACAGATCTGTGGAATCCCTTGCCTAGCATTTATAAAGTCCTGGCTTTGACCCCCAACACAGGTCGAAAGGAGGCGAAGACAGGGGCGGGGAAAGGGGAGGGGAGGGGCAGGAAAGTAAAATCAACTTATGTTGTAAGACGCAAACTTTGCAAGGGTTTTGAAACGTAACAAAGGACAATTTAGAGAGGTACTATTTCTACGTCATACAAGCAGGAAAGTTTCCTGGGCATACATTTATTTAAATCAGACACTTAAATATCACCTATATAGATAACCAGTCTAAACACCAATAAATTCTTAATACACATGTTCAAACAAAAAGACAAAAATACTAAAACATAGGCTGGGCAGTGGAGGTATATACCTTTAATCCCAGCACTTGAGAGGCAAAGGCAGGCGGATATCTGAGGTTCTAGGCCAGCCTGGTCTACAAAGCAAGTTCCGGGACAGCTAGGGTTACAGAGAGAAACCCTGTCTCAAAAAAACAAGGAGGGTGCTGGAGAGATAGCTCAGTGGTTATGAGCACAGCTGCTCTTTCAGAGGATCCAGGTTCAATTCCCAGAACCCACATGGCAGCTCATGTATATAACTCCAGTTCCAGGGAATCTGACACTCTCACACAAACATACATGGCAAGCAAAACACCAATAAAGTGAATAATTTTTTAAAATACCAAAACATTATTAAATTATGAAAAATGAGATGAACACATGCTCACTTTACTACAACAAATAATTAACAATGAACCATTAAATGATGTATATGGCTTATGAGAGAAAAGTGGCCTCTGGGAAAGAATTTTCAATGAGTGACTTCTTCTAAAGTAATAAGCACAACTTTTACATGAACTCTCCCAAAGACATGAGTATGTTTCAAAGCAAGAAGAAAAAAAAAAAAAAACTTTTGTTCTATTTGCAAGAATTAAATACCTGCATACAAAAGACATACAAGGAAAGAACAATGTCTAAAGTGAATTTAAGGGCAAGTTAAGAAATAGGGGAAATGTTAAGTCTGAAATTATAAGTCAAGTTAGCTAATACATAAATGAAGACATAGTTTGAAATAATTTATTTCTCCAGTAAGTAAAAAGCTGGCTTCTAACCCACTATCATGTAACTTTTGTTAAATTCAGATAACTATTTCCACTCCACAAAAAAGAGGCAGAAGGCTGGTGTGTGGTGTACATCTTTAATCCCAGCACTCAGGAGACAGAAGCTGGCAAATCTCTGTTGAGTCCACCATGGTCTTTAGAGTTCCAGGACAGCCAAAGCCACATAGTAAGATCTTTCAAAACCAGAGGGGGCAGGTGGTTGAGTCAGATGCACTAGCACAGACCCACTGGGGAGGTGGCATGGGTGTTGTGAACTTAAGGCCAACTGAGGAAGGGAGGTGGACACACTAAACCATTACTATGCTTTAAAAACAACAGTCAGTACCCAGAAAACCAGGGTTATTAACAAATTTAACACTAAGCCCTTGTAAAGTAAAGCCTGTATGTTTAAATGTAGATTAATGTATCATTAAAAAAAAAATGGGTGAAACCTGTTAGAGGTAACAGTGCAAAAAAGTAGGCTATATCATTATTCAACTGAATTAAGTGATTTGACTGTATCTAGCTGCTTTAGATGACAGTGATCATTTCACTTACTAAAATTCTTTATAATCCAACCAAATATATGTTGAAATGCAACATTTAACCAACCATGACAAACCCACTTGAAATCAGAACAATTCACTTGAAGTTTTAACCATGGTAAAGTATTAATAATAACAGTGTATTTAATGTATAACAATAATAATGTATTCAAGGTTAAAAAGTATATACCTCTTGGTAAAACAAAACATACTGATGGCAAATAAACAAAATACATATGCTTTTGATAAAAATACAAATGGCAGGCCGGGTGTTGGTGGCGCACACCTTTAATCCCAGCACTTGGAAGGCAGAGGCAGGGAGATCTCTGTGAGTTCGAGGCCAGCCTGGTCTCCAGAGCAAGTGCCAGGATAGGCTCCAAAGCTACACAGAGAAACCCTGTCTTCAAAAAAAAAAAAAGAAAAAAAACAAAAAAAAAGAAAAGAAAACAAATGGCTTTGATGTCCCCCATTTTATTACAACAGTGTGATACTCAAAATACTTATTATATTGGATTAAGTTAAATAATACCACATGAAATAAAACCTCAATTCAACCACCTATGACAATTTCTAGTAGGAATAACCCTAAAGTTGGGAGGGAAAAGGGAGGAAGTAAGGATTAGGAGCTAAAACAAATGTCACAAGACTGTGGTTCACTGTATATATATGCTCCTATTTGAGGCCCAGTTAAAACAATCTTTCAGATCAGATAAAGCTGCAGGAGCTCACTATAACGTATTATGTCATTATAATGACACACCAGTGCAGAAAGGAGTCGAGTTATAACGCACATGTTCCTTGAAGATTTAGTAAAGATATACTCCTATCTTTATTAAAGAAATCTTGGCAATATTAATTAGGAAATCCTCAAATCCTGACAAACAGATAAACATATACTTTTATTTACTGCATTAAACCATCAGCCCATTATTTTTGATGCATTTTATTAATTAACCTAAAAGAAAAAACAAAAGATGTAACTATTTGCTTCTAAAAAGTAAATATAATGAATTATAACTATCTTATAGATTTGAACAGGAGATGAATAGACAGAATTCAAAAAAGCATAATTAAAAAGACAAGCATGATACATGTAATCATATAGTTTTTGCAAAACCCTATATATGTACAGTGCCATTTAGAAGACATGTAACATGAGTACATTAAAAAAATGTTCCACATCATTACTCAATCAAAAATACAAATGAAATACAGGATGTAGCTCAGGTGGTGGTGCCTAGCAGGCAAATGTGCAAACCTCCCTGGTTCAAACCCCCACCCCACACTACATGAAGCCAAGCTTCATCTAAATCTTCCTTGGAGTCTCCCCTCTCCAAAAAGAAACTATTATCATGGTTGTACTTGGGAGGCAAAGGTGG